GGTAAAACTATAAAAATATAAAACCAGATATTCTCTTCAAAAATTTTCTTTGTGGGTTCCAATATATATTTAATCTACGTGAGAGATTCAAAGTATCACGTTAGCTCTCGATAATTCTTTTGAGTACCACGCAGAAAATTTGTAATGAAGTCCGGTATTTACATGACCTACTTCTGTAACAACACGTGGGCATGTCCTTTGAAATTATAATGGTGCAATATGCTGCTGCATCCAATTAGTATCCATCATTTAGTTGCAGGATGAAGTAGCTCGTTTAAACTCCGGTCGTTATGGTTTCCAGGAAAATATAAAGCAGATAACAGAGTTTTTACATTTGCCATTCGAGCCAGAATCATTATCGAAATGGATTTCTTCAATCTGAGTACCGAATTCATCTCAGAATTAAAACAGATATTCAAGATATTCAAACTTTGTTGGAAATGGAGCAGGCGCGGTCCGAGACGGGGGAAACGGGGGTCATGACCCCCGCCCCTAAAAAGTGTACACGTCAAACTGACAAAACTTATAAGGATTGACAATTCACCGAAATTTGATAATCTATTGAATTCCTGCTCAACTGAACAACAACACTCAGCAAATAACGCTTAATTAATTTCCACTATTTGAATTCCTTGTTTAACCGCTCGATTCACTTTCTAAATTGAACTGCCCTCTCTGGACGAGAAGCCGGCTTTATATATCGATAACGATCGCTCTAGAATTCTATAGTCATTTCTGGACTCGACTAGAGTTTAATAGGTGGTTGCCGACTGCATCCTGTTGCGATGATGTCAGGTGTTTGTTCGCTGACATATCGATCAGGGGCGGCTTCAGATTCATTAGAGTACCTATGTTTTTGGTGAACCAACATTGAAGTGTGAAATTATCAATTGGACTGGTCTATACTATATCATGAATATTAAAATTAAACATAGCATCAAGCGCTATTCTACGTTAACGGGAGAATCCGAAGAACATTTTCACAAGTAATTTGTTGTCAAGGCCTAACTGAAAAATGATGGTCTAACACTGGGCAGACTTTCCTTAGATGGTTATCAAGAAAATGGCTAGTTATATATTTTCGAAAGACTGTTTTCATTCGAATTAGTTAACACAACGATGGACCTAAAAGACTGACTTTCTGCGGATACCATGAATCTTTTTGAATGCAAGTATTTTTATGCCAGAATTTGAATAGACAGAGAATTTCAATGTTGAGCAAGCTTCAAAATTCGTTTTTATTCTACTGTCATTCCTGTTTCCATTGTGGTTAAGATTTGTATCTATTGATTTGGAAGTGGAACAGAAGCGTGAAGAAAATATTAACACGAATAGTTTTCAGGATTTTTTTCATCTCCTTAAGACGTTGGTCAAAGGATAGTCACGCGGTTTCTAGAATCAAAGTTTGCGGCGACAATGTCGAGATGAACAATTACTGGGAGTTATAGCAGAACGACTGCGTAATTTTTTTACCGGTACCTGTGCGAAAGTAACGATTCACATTGGATTTGAATCGCTGGAAATCAAATCTATTTGGAAAAACATTCTCAGGAAGTGTTTTCCGCATAAACGTAGTTCTCCAGATGAAAGAGTTCTTAAACAGTGAAGTTCAAGGTGTACTGAGTTGAACCTCAAAACGATGAGAAGACACAGTCCGTCGCGTATTTTTGATATGTACCGCTCTTGGTGGAATCAAATGTGGCAAGTCACATTTACACTTCCCGTGAAAGTATTATTAAAAGAAAGACACATCTCCAACCTTTCTTCGATGTTACAGGCTATCAAGGTTGCACGTGAAGTTCTCGTCTCCAATTAGGCGGATGGCTCTTTTCTGGATGGAATCCAGCAATTTCAGGGTATGTTTGGGTGCAGACCTCCATACATGAGAACATTACTCCAAAGAAGGTATGATTCGAACTGTGTACAGTTCGAAGCAAAAAGCGGAATTGTCTGACCTGACATTATTATATCTGGTTCGGAGACATTTATCTTCTTGGAGAAAACCGATATCTGGGTTTTTGTGGTAGTGAATTGAACGTGGTTACTTTCACCCCAATTCGAAATCACTTCTAAATCCTCATTAAGATATGCAACCTCCTACTGCCGGTGAAGATATGCTTCCGTAGGCGATGTCCTGTAATTTAAATGGAATGACGAGACGAGTCTGCTGTCGTCAGCAAAGTAATATATTGGATTCTTGGTTTTTTCCAATAAGTCATTAATATACAATAAAAAGAGAGTTGTAGACAATATGGCTCCCTGGGGAACACCACCGTTAATGGTGAAATTATTCAAGAAATACCCATTGACGGTCACTTGCAGGGAACGTTTTTTCAGGAAGCCGAAGAGCCATACACAAAAATGATCCGACAAGCCATAGCATCGAAGTTTGGCCGGCAAACCATCATGCCACACACGGTCAAAGGCCTCAGAAATATCAAGCGCAACAGCTCTTGATTCTCCATGTTCCTCGATTGCGATTGCCAAATATGGGTGACGTACGATAGAAGATGGTCGGTTGATCTTTGTTTCCTAAAGCCATATTGATGATCGCTCAAGATGTTGAAGCCTTCCAAAAGTTTGATATGGTGGTTTACGACTTTCTCTATGATTTTTGATATCACTGATAGCAAAGCGACTGGTCTATATTTATTTGGAAGATTTTTCTTTCCCCTTTTTGGGAATAGGCTGAACGCGAGCAATGTTCCAACAAGAAGGAAAAACGCCTTTCTTTGGTTGAGCATTGAATATTAAATTGAATTGATCTCCTGGTTTGGAAGGAATGAGACCCGTTTTTTTCAAGAAATTTGCCGAAACTTTCTGCACTGTTGTCAACAATTGTTAGTCTCTTTCGCAAAATCTCAAATCCCACGGGCTTGGAAGAAGGCATATGTCACCCCTATATTCAAAAAAGGTGATGAATTCTATACAATTAACTACAGGCCCATTTGTCTTCCATACGTACCTTCCAAAGTATTGGTATCAACAATTGTAGAAGATATGTCAGAATTTTCAACAAAAAACGCAATCTCACCATCGGAACAACCACCACCATTAGTCTTTTACAGTGCATGAACGATTGGACGACAGGTATTGTTTATCTTGACTTTGCCAAGGCTTTCGATAGGGTGCTAGTGAGGAGGCTAACACACAAACTTGACACACTCGGTATTCGGGGCCAACTAAACCTATGGATTGAAAATTACATGACAGATAGAACATTCACACTCAAAGTGGGTCCCTAATTTTCTTCGGAAAGACAAGTCACAAGTGGAGTTCCCCAGGGGTCTGTACTTGTCCCGCTCCTCTTCGTTGCTTATGCAAGTGATCTTGCCCTTCATATAAAGTGTTGCAAGTCTTTTTATGCCGATGAAACTATACTGTATGGGAATGCCTTAGTTGAACATCAAATCCTTCAAGAAGACCTCAACTCGATTAGTCAGTTGTGAGGATTGGCTTGTACCTCTTAACATCGACAAATGCGTCGTACTCCTTCAAGAAAGGAACAATTCACTCCACACGTACACAATTAACGGTCAATCGTTGCATATAGTGTCCTCACATGTTGACTTGGGAGAGACTATCAATACTGACTATTAATACTAACTTGGTCCGAACATATTATATCCACATGCAAACGCGCCAACACACTGAGCTACCTCATCCGCAAAACATTTTCTCATCTAACATATTCAACTTTCATAAAACTCTACATAACTTATGTTCGTCCAATTATGGAGTATGAAGGTCCGGTGTGGTGTCCTGTTCTGGTGCGCGATAAGAACTTGTTGAAAAATGTTCACCGTTGAATCACGCGTATGACTTTTGGTAAAGTGCCTCCAACCTATCCCGAAAAACTGAGGATGGTACAACTGATGCTTTTGACCAACATCAACTCCATAGGGATCTCATTATATCTTTCCGTATAGCTAATATTCATGCTGATCAGAAAGAATTTTTTGTTCTAAAATTAAAAAAGGAGAAATTCGCCACAAGGCAAAGACAATATTTTTTGATGAATCTTCTTTTCGAAACATGGAATAACATACCCAACGATGTTGTGAATTGTGACTCAGTGAATAGTTTTGAAAACAAAATAGACATTTGCTAATTTGCCTAATCGTTTCTATGCATTTATTAACTATTTTTCTTTCTTTTCGCATGCATCGTATCGACTTTAGCTTTTAGGCTTATATAGAACCCTGTCCTCAGCCTTCATTTATATGTAATAATGATGAATGTAAAGACTCTGAAAAATTCTGGCAACCCTTCTTGTAAGCGTTTGAGAGGCAACGCGTAGTAAAGGGAGGCAGACATGTTTAGCTTTTCTAGATGTTTATCCACAGATAACCTGAGACGTTTTAGATATCATCACCAGATTTGCCAGTAAGAACAGAAGACTTTGATTTATTTTATCCAAATCCTCGTACGAGCAAATAAATTTCACTAATAGTAGCATAGCATATTTAGTATAGGTGAAATTTATTATTTTATACGAGGATTTGGGTCAATCGGATATGCGGTTGGTTAGTACCTCGTCTAGGGGCAGAGACGGCGATGACAGATATGCTGCTTGTCGTTCGCTTTAGCTGTGTTCGAGGTATGATACTCTGAAATCATCGACTTCGTATTGGTGATGCACTGACGAGAGGCCAAACAGCCCGAAACCGGTCTGCAAGTGTGTCTGTTCCAATAAAATTGAAAATCGATTCTGGTAGTTGTATCGACAAAAGCATATGCAGGAATTTCTTCCGTGGAGAATCCTATACTGACATCTGTCGGATATAATCCAACGCCCTTCGTAATATTAGCCAAGAAAGTTGTTTTCTGATAGGTGTCACTCCATTATTCCTTTATATAATTTTATTTATAGTCAGTCTTTAAGTGTGCCTTCCTACTATAGGTGCAATTCTTGCTGATTGACATTTTACGAAATAGTAAATTTTGCTGCTAGATTTTTTTATCATTATCCTCAAAACAGAAAATTGTATTTCTTTCAGGTTATCAAGAAAGCTGCTGACATCAACTTCATCGGACCTACTCGTGTCACACAGATTATGCTTCCTCTAGTTCGTCGTGCAAAAGGACGGATCATCGTCGTAACTTCGGGACTTTGCAGAGTGGCGTCCCCCGTTAGAGGCATCCATTGTGGTCTACTGGCAGCTCTCGAAGCCCAGGCAGAGTGTCTGAGGAAGGAACTAAGAAGTAGAGGTGCGTTTGTTTTTTCTATTCTTCAAAACAAATCAACAGATATTAATTACTCAAAACAACGGTTAAACAATTTAACAGAAATTTTGATGAATTTCAGAAATAACGATACATTTTTTAATAATATTTTGGAATCAATTGATTTAACTCTCGAACCGCCGGCGCCGAAAAAAAGAAAACCCAATTTAGACTTAACCGATTTGACACAAAATTATAAACAGATTTATAATGAAATATTGGACATCTTTTTAATGCAAATCAAAGTTGAATTTGAAGATTTACTTGAATTAAACTACTTTTATTTGTTGTTGTTTGAAAAATATCCTATATCAGAGATTTTCCCCAAAAACTTTATAACGACTTGATAGCTCAGTATCCATTTTTCGATGTTATTCAACTGAAAAATGAATTAATCGTAAAGTACAGCGACCCTCAAATGTTTCAAAATTGCAAGTCTCCTTCAGATTTATTAAATTTTATGTTTGAAAATGAAATATTAAAAATTATTTATATTAAATAACTCAAAGACAACCCTTTTTTCTTGTTTTTGTTTTTTCAATGACCAGTTTTATACGTATAATTTTTGGCAATACACAATTTTTTTTGCATTTATACAAATATTACGTATTTTGCTTTAAATAGGTGCGGTACCCCAAAAAATGTTCGCGCCTCCGGCAGGCTTTTCTGTGTGTATATAGTGTTTATGACTTTAGCCTCCCCTGTTCTCCAATGCACGAGCCGTCACTGGACCTGTCACTATTTCCAATATAACATTATTGGCAGCTTTAGCGTTAGATTGCTTTTTTTGAAATCCATTACGTGACTGAGTAAAATAGATTTTTTCATTTGGGTAAAGCCTATCCTTTCCAACAGAAACAATACTAATTGTAGAACTAGAACTAAAGTTGCCCAAATTTCAGTAGCAGGTGATATTTCCCAATGACATATAGGTTCCAAGAAAAATAAATTTGAAGGTGAAGGAGAGTTTTTCAAACTATGATAAATATTAGGATTCGGTTTTGGAAGAGATTCAATAAATGTTTTAGTTATTGAACAGAAAAAATCGTTGAAAGCATTTACAGAAATTTATTACTTTACATTGTACGTTGTACATAACGTGATTTTGAATCACTGTAATGGGTCCTACGGCATCAGACTTTCAAATATATTGTTGAAATATATTCTATACTTTCTGTCGAAATAAAGAACATAAATATAATCAATCTCTTCAAGAAAAAAACAAAACAATGGCTGTTGAATTGCCAAAGATAAGAAATACATGATTTTGTGAACCAGAAGAATAAATGTTGAACTTAAGTTTTGGAAATATGTTATAAACCAAATAAGTCGAATATGAATTGACACATTTTTACAAATTTTTAATCACATTAACAAATTTTATATCACTTCAACCAGATATTGGTATTAAGAGACATTTTATATTACAATTTTTAATATTTGATGAAATATATAAATGCTATAAATTTTATCACCTACTTTCAATTATTTATTTTACTATTCCCAATGATCATTATATCATATATTGTTGGTTTTGTTGTCCATGAATGAATACATTCCTTTCTTTTTTTCTATATTCTTATTCAACCATCTACTGCTGTATGTGAATAGGAAGTCACGTACAAGCAATAATTTTACTGAAATTTGAGCCTCTGTGACTAGCATTGTTTATTTACTTTCACTATCCTGTATACTTACTGATTGTTCCATTAATTATTAGTGAATACACACTGTAATTATTATTAGTATCATTATTATTATTAGTGGATTCACATCGTTTTTGTCTAAGAGACGCTCAACCAACTCAATTGTTTCAATTAGCAGAATACTGAGAAATACATTTTGAACATCAAACAATAATTATTTAGAATTAGTTTTTAATATTATTCACCAATTTTAGTGATAATAGAACCCGACAAAATTGGATTTCAACTCTCACAGACATATTCAACGGGGTTAACTTTGTTGATAGCTTACAGATTATCTTATTTATTGTACGCACATCACTTCACAATAAAGTTTGTCTTATGCACGATTCTAATTATGTAGGAGTTGACGTAGTCGTCGTGGCCCCAGGGGAATTGACTTCAGGATCATCGTGGCTGTCTGATGAAACCATTCTAGAACAGGCCAAGGACATGTGGAAGCAACTTTGTCAAGAACAAAGACAGGAATACGGAGAGGACTACTTCGAAAAAGCAATTAGGAGTCTTGAAAAATATACTAAAACTCAGGTGAGATTGTTTTCGTATCTTAAACATGTTGAAAGGTACTTTCAATCTATATATTCGGTCAGTTATACTAATCTTGAGTCGTGAAGTCCAATAATGTATACAATTTTTGAAATAAAAAAACTTCCAGGCATGTATCTTTGACATGAATAAAAATAAATTACTTAATATATCATTTGGAAGGTTTCTTATATCTCCATTTCGTCTGTGATTTTTTCAAAAATGGTTCAATTGTAAACAAAGAATTCGCTGTCGTTTTTTTCATTAAAAACAAAAAATTTGAAAAATATCGGATATATTACTCAAAGTGATGTCAACCAAGTTCCATACAATCATCAACAACAGTATAATAATAATAATATAATTTTCCATTAGACACAGATAACATGTATTGGAATCGTCAAAGTACACATAAAACAATGTCACAAAATTCACAGTGTGAGCGACACCGTTGTTATTAAATCAACAACAACAAAATTGAAATAAAATTAAATACACCACAGATACACTTACATATTACGAATTGTAAAATTCTTGCAAATTATAAAAATAATTCTTCAACAAGTTACTAAATTTATGGAGGTTTGTTATATCTTTCAAACTCCTAGGGAGTTTATTGAAAATAGTAAGACCTACCACTGATGGACAATTTAGCGTTGTTTTAAACTGACGAAACGGAACATGGAGATCACTTTTTTGTCAAGTGTTCACATTATGAATACTTCCGTTTGTAGGAAATCTATTCTTGTTTTTAAAAACATAGATTGGCAATTCGAAAATGTACAGACAGGTTAGGGTTAAGATTCTAAATTTTCGAAATATATCCCTACAAGAAAATGTACTAGGAACTCCTACTACTATACGAATATTTCTTTTCTGTACAATAAAAACATCTGTGTAGAGTTACCCCATATGCATATGCCATATCGCAACCTTGATGCAACTTGCGCGTGATATAATGTTAATAGTTGTTGTTCTGTTAAAATGCTTCTGAGGTTTCTGAAAAGGTAACACAATGAATTCAATTTGTTCATCACGAGGGTGCAATGTTTTTTTCAAGTCAGACATGCATTTTTGGTTATCCCCAGAAATGCTGTATCATTTATTTGATCATTTATTTGAATTTATACTTTTTCGCACTGTCTTTGACGATTGTGGAATCTCATCAACTGAGTTTTTTCAGCAATGAGGTTCAATGAATTATTTCCGCACCAATTCTCAACTGACTTCAGAGTACTTTTACACTTCTCAAACAGAAGATGATCCACATTACTGGACACCACCAAGGATGTATCATCAGCGAACATTGTTATGAATGAATCTGTGATGAAGTTATCGATTTCATTTATATAAAAAAGAAATAATATCGGACCTAGCACAGCTCCTTGTGGTACACCCATCGTGACGTTCAAGCGCTCAGAATCAAAGGTAGTAGTGGTAGACTCACTATGATATTTCAAGCTAACAAACTGTTGTCTATTCTTCAGAAACGATAAAGTCCAGTCATAGGCCTCGTATACCATACGAATAAAGCTTTGACATGAGTTGATATTGATTGACACAGTCGAAAGCCCTGCTGAGGTCGCAGAATATGCCAACAGGGCATTCTCCTGATTCAAGAAGCATTGAAACTGTTTCGATAAATGAAATTATTGTAGTGTTTGTGGATTTGCTTGTGCGAAAACCATGTTGTTTATCTGAGAATATTCGATGTTTTTTTAGGAATTTCAGTAACCTATCTAAATAGGAGTACTTAAAAATCTTCGAAAAACCCGGACTTATCGTAATTGGCCTATAGTTTTCCAGTTTTTCTGGATCATGCCTTTTAAAAATTGGGACAACTTTGCCGACTTTCAATATTTCCGGAAATGATGCAGTTGCAAATGAAAGGTTAACAAGAAAGGTGAGTGGCATTATAATGAAGGGAAGAGATTTCTTGATGAGAAATAACAGAACTTCATCTGGGCCGGATGAGTATTTGTTTTTGAGTTTGTTGCTGAGCAAAAAAAGTAATTCCTCTGGTATGAACGACTCTAAGAAAATGGAATGCGGATTCGTATTTATGGGACGATGCTTTAGTTCATCATCTACTTTTATTTTGCTAATAATTTCTGAAGGAGAGTCAATGAAAAATTCATTGAATAGATTTGATAAATCACCTGGATTATCTTGTAGAGTGCCGTCTTTCATTATTTGAATATTTTTTGCGTCTCCCTTCCTATTTGAAAGTTCGGATATTACTTTTCATGCTGTTCTACTAGGATTGGGGGAATCTGTGATTCGGTTCTGATAAAATCTTTTTTGAGTCTCAACAATATAACATGTTTCTTTTTGGCCTTTTTGTAAGCACCTGTAAGAGTTTCAGGATACATATTTCTCAAAATATGTAGATCTTTCAGATTTCTACTCCATAATTTCACTTCATCGGTTACCCAATTCTTGTCATGTGAATTACCATTTTCCCAATATTTTTTCATAGAAAAAAATATATTGAAGTGATGGAAAAATGCAGCACAAAAGTATTCAAATGCTTTATCTACTGTACAAGCTTCAGTAACATCTTTCCATGATCCGCATTTGAGTGCTTCACAAAAGTATTCAACAGAGTGTTCATTGAAACTTCTCTTCGTTTGGAAAGTTTTCGAAGGAGGCAATTTCGTTTCAGATATCTGAAGAAGTACCGTTTTATGGTCTGAAATATAATTGTCAACTACACAAACGACTGTGTCATTAACGTTACTAAAAATTTGGTCGATAATAGTAGATGAATGTGAGGTAACCCTAGTTGGCTATTTTACAATTGGGTACAAACCAAAGCTAGACAAAATATCTTTGAGTTTGTTGATTTTACAGGAATCCCTTGTATCAGTGGTAGAATCGATATTGATGTCACCTGTTGAAATAATATTTACATTAGGCTTATAAAACTCGTCAAAAACCTTCTGGATAGTTTCGAAAAATATGTTATGATCACCACACGGAGATCTATAGCAAGTGAAAATTATGGTAGTAATGCCGTCTAATTTGCAAGAAACACCACAAATCTAGAAGTGTTTTTCAATACAAAATTTATCTAGTTTTATCTTTTTACATTTCAGTCCGACTCTGGAGTATATAGCCACACCACCTTGATCATATAGGTTTCTACAGAAATAGGTGCTCAGTTCAAATCCTGTTTTTTGTGTGGTTGGTGTCTACTTTTGTATGTGTTTCAGTAAGACAAATAAATAAAATATTGTTATTAATGTATGTTTCTAACTGATTGATTGCGTCAGTATTCAAACTTTGTACGTTCAACAGAACGATTTGTGGATAAAAGACGTGGATCCATATCAGTCTTAAAATTTCATTCATTTATAGATACCTTGAAAGAAGAGTGAATACTGGGGAATCTTGATGCAAATTCTTGGACTTGAATCTTTGAAAACGTGGGGAGTAGTAGTTGTTTTAGTCCTTCCAATGAAGTTGTTTGGAGAAGCATATTTTTGGGGACGCCCTTTATATCTGTTTCTTTATTGTTTTCTACAATCATTCGTCTTTTTGGTTTCTGTCGCTTAGATTCGTTCAGAAGCTGTCTTTACATTATTCAAGATGCCTGGAGTCAACAACCGGTATCTCAAACAATCATTCTAGATTCGTAGGCTGTGAGTAGCATCAACTTTCAACTTCACGGGTCCCTACAAAAATGAATCCAAAGGTATGAGATTGAGTAATTCAGCTGGACACTCCACCAGATCCCGCCTGCTTATCCAACGCATTTTGTGAAATTTTTGTTTCCATCATCTAGTACAGATTCAGATCGCTGTGGTAACAATTTTTCTTCAGTTGACGGTCAAAGTGTACTCAAAAAACATGTTTTGTATTGGCCAATTTTTTATCGAACTCCTTACAAATCTGAAGTCGATATTCAGGATCATCTTCGTTCAATTCGTGAACTAGCCTCATTTTGAAAGGATAGACGTTGACAGACGTTCAAAAAGAGGTAAATCCAGTGATTATAAATTTAAATAACGATAACAACACAAGTACAAGCAGCAGTGAAGATTATTAAAATTTTTATTCAGATAGTGGCTGATTAAGGTTTATTTTTGGATAAGTGTATCCGGCCGGTCGGTAGCCAGGCGGTTCGACGTGGGTGCTTTGTTCACTCACTCGAATTGACTGCCGTGTTGGTCGGTGGTTCAAGCCCCAGTCTGAACGATCGATTTTCACTTGCTATCGTCCAACCTGTGTTAGGAATCACACGTTAGAAGGTAGGACCTCATAAATCCTTAGCTCGCACAAGTTTCGACTTCTGAGGGATAAACAGATTTCAAACAGATTTTTGTTAAACATATAATACTAAATAAAATATGAAAAGAAATTACAAAGAAGTCGTGTTCCATTTGCTACCCTAATTAAAACTAATAATAGGTACGACACTGGCCGGTAAGGGGCTTATCGTAATCCAATAGTAATTTAGTCATATTATGTATTTCATTTGGTTGAAAAGGACTGTGAATTTCGCCAATATTTTTATTCGATATCCTTTCTTCTTTCTGCTCCGTCGTTTGAAAAATTATATTTTTTAATTAATAAAAGAAATAGAAGGGAAGTATTCTTTTCTATCGAAATAAGAATATCAGCCCAAATCTGAAGACCATATGAATTACGTCAATCATATTATTTTCAACTAATATTCTATTTCAGGAAAGTGACACATCTCCCGTATTGAGAGCTCTCAACGATGCAGTTGTCCGCACTTTTCCTCTCAAGAAATACACTCCTGTATCCCGCAAAGAGAAAATACAAGCCTTCATTGCAGACCATTTTCCCCGTTCTGTTTATGACATAATATACTCTTAAATGTTCATTTCCTTAAAGAAAAATTATCTAATATCAAAGAAAAGTGATGAATTTTTTGTGCTAGTAAGTTACAGTGTTAGATTGTATTTGTTTTGAATTTCTGTAGGTTATGCTTTGTCAGAGAGTTTTAGTGAAAGTCAGTTGAGTCTTTTTCAGGCAGTGACTACATTTTGTTGATGTAGATAATTGTAAGTGCTCTTAATACTGTGATTTAACCTGTTTACATTCACAAAAGGAACTTTCAAAACAATAGTAATATATATAAATTTATCTAAGCTGGCTGAAGGACATCAATTGTATACTTCTGATGCACTGTTTGGAACCTTTGGTATAGTAATGAATATTACTGTAGTTTTTTCCCAACACCAAACCGTTATTTCAATACCTCGACATGTGGTTCGATCACCAAGTGATCATCTTCAAGAGGAAGATCAAACTGGTCCTTGATCTTCCTCTTGAAGGTGATCACTTGGTGATCGAAACACGCATTGAGGTGTTGAAATAACGGTTTGGTGTAGGGAAAAAACTACAGTAATATTTATCAATTGTTTCTTGAAATCATATTTTTATTTTTTCTCCCATGGCCGGTGGGTGAAATCGAATCTGCGTAAAGTTTGGGTTGGTGTGTGACAAAGAAAGTTTTAGGAAAAAAGGAATAGTAACTTTTATTTGCAATTTTATGTTTTCCGCTCGAATAATCTAACAGACTGATTTCTACACATCTACTGCACATCTTGAGGGAGGGGCTTCTCACCGGCCATGACTCAGTCAGGCAACTGTATGGGTACGTTTTTGGGTTACTAGATGTTAATCCATGTAAAGTACTCAAATAAATCATACAGAGTATGGTATCGAAGAAGTCTGAACAGTAATGATCAATTAATATAAATATATAATCATACAATATCATGTAAGTAAATAAATAAATACAAATTTTTGTGTATTAGATCTACGCTTCAAAGTATGTAACACATTAAACATTGATAATGATTATACCTGAATCACATTATAAATCTGATGATCTTAAACAAAAGTTATTTTTGTTCAAGATCATTATCAGTTTTTCATCAACGTTTCTAGAGATTTTCACTTTACATAATCTGAAAAAAAATTGTAATGGATAACTTGTTACAAAACAAAAAATACACTGAGATCTATACGCACACACATACAGGGTGTAAATTTGAAAACTTCTCACCCTCAATATCGTCCTTCCAGTAAACAATATGAGGAATCGAAAAACAGGTCAACTTCATAGTCAAGGGGGACACTTCCAAAGACTATTTGTGGCGTTCGTGGTTCAACCCCCTAGGAGAGGTAGATGTTACCCTTAGAATTTTAAATGGAAAGGGGGGTTAAGTGGCACATCATTTTGATTGGGGTTCAATTCTGCTTCCAATGGTACCCTGACTTATTGATTTTTGGATCAACATTTTCCGAAAAAAAGCGGTCTTAATTAACAGAAGTAATGATTAGTGGTACTACTGCGATGCATGGTTTGACCAGAACTGGTAAGGATATTAGGTAGTACCGTTGCAACCATTTATTAGGAGTAACATTAGCCATTAGCTCCAATTAATTCACATCAAAAAGAAGTCTGAGATGGTAGTGAATTTGTGTAGTAAATGCTGAATTTTTACTTCTCATCGCAGAAAGTGTACAGATAGCCGTCCTTTTTTGCTACTTTTGCTGTAAAAAGTTTCTGTTTTCAGGCAAAAAATTGGTTCGCAAATTTGAACTTTATGGTAGTATTGTGCATACAGTTGTACCTGTTGGGCTATTATGATTACTTTAATAAATGTATAAAAGTTTAAAAATGGTTTACATCCTTCAAGACAGAATTGAAATGATATAATTTTATGGATAAGTTGGAAATTGCAAACAAAGGGCGGCATGTATTTTAACGAGCGACATCCAAAGTGTAATGTAAGTCATGTGCTTGATTTGGTGAATACATTTTACGAAACTGATTCAGTGACAAATAAAAAAAATAAAATTCTAATTAGAATCATGTGCAAGTTCAGAACGCTATTTTTCGGAAACTGCTCATCAAAACATAAAACGTCAGGTTATCATTGGAAGCAGAATTGAACGCCAATCAAAATGATATGCCACTTGACGCCCCTTCTCGTTCAAGATTCTAATGATAACATCTACCCCTCCTTGGGGGTTGAACCACCAGAGCTACAAATATTTCTTGAAAGTGTCCCCTTTGACTATAAAATTGACCTGTTTTTCCGATTCCTCATATTATTTACTGGAAGGAAGATATTAAGGGTGGGAAGTTTCCAAATTAAAACCCTGTATACACAAACTCTAGACACAGAAGAAAAAACAAAAATAAGTTATGAGCATGTATAAGTTACTTTGTTCTTGTGGCAAAAGTTATATTGGTGGAACTTCAAGATCATTAAAAGTGCGCGATAATAGCAAAAGTATCAGAACACGTTTTGAAATCAAACGATGTTGAATTGAACTAGACGGGACCGTTTGCCAGTAAAACCCATTTTGAGAGACATAAGCGCAAATATTTAGCGTAAATTATTATATCTGAAGATGAATCTATTTCAACTTGGAACTTGGAAGTCCTGCATAGTGGCGAAATATCAGAGAACACCTTGTAGATACTACATCGAATGTTTTAGAAATGATTCAACAACATTATTGATGTATTCAATATTTCAAAACTTCTTTAGCATTTTTTGAGGAATTTTGAAAATGAAGTGAAACAAAGAACAAATACTAGTTCCATTACATTTTTTCAATTGCGCAGGCGGAAGCAGATGTTTAGCCTCCGAAAGACAAGTAAGTATATGTACAATTTCTCAGTTTCTTTTATAGAAAAATTATTGAATACGAATTAATCATAAATGGTCATCTTATGTAAAAAAAAATGTGTCTTGACCAATCAACAGAGTGCTCCAAGACATTATCATGCATAGTGCACGTGATCTCCCAAACAAGGCTGCTTGTACAGAGTCGCACTAAGGAACGACCGATTTTTTTTTCAAATATGCGGCTGGGTATAGGAGAATTTTGAACTTTAAAATATCGTATATGTACACACCACAGTTGTTAAAACGTAACTGACCGCACTAGCAGTGTAACAATGAATTCCGCCAGCCGATTATTATTTTCACAAAATAGATGCAAATGTGTTGCTTTTTTTTGTTGGATAGATATAGTTCAGAGACTTAGTTTTTGTAATGTTCCAATCCAGACACATTTTCTTCGAAGTAGCGATGGGCAACTACTATAATTTATTGCATACTTATGACATGTACCGATTTCATTCAAATCAAGCGGGCTGAGTCCATTGTATTGTTGTAAATCATGCCCGAAAGAAAATAACACCGGTCGCCACTGGTAGCCATAAACCAATTAGCTGAGAGCGCGCGAATGCACGATGATTCCCCGCCACTCTAGAAGCAGCGAGAATAATGCTACCGACTTCGACAGAACCTCGGCGAAATTTCTACGGCATTCGATTAAGACATTTAAACGATAGCTGCGAGCATATCGACATAGTCAAGTGGACATTACAGTGCGGTACGCGAAGCTATCTATTAAGACGATAGACATTCAAATAATACTTGACGTTTTAGTTGAAGTATTTGTTGTATTTAAAGTTAAATAAAGTTAAGTTTGATTATTCAGTGTAATCAATTTATTGTTGAACCCACGGAGAAAAATGAAACAGTATACATTTCATGAAAGTTTCTATAGAAGACGTACAACTCCCAACTTTCCATGGCTGCTAATCGTGTTGTTGTTGAGGTGGAAGACTCTTTTCTGGATGGAATCTAGCAGCTTTATGTTTGCTCAGGTGCGGTAATAATAAATATAATCTTTGTTTTCCCAAATGACTAATACAACTTAGAATAGGAATAGTTACAATTACATTCAAATAGTAAATTATGTATAATCACAAAAATACACATGTATAACACTAAATCTTGAATATATATAGAAAAAACAAATGAAATCACATATTTAAATATTCGTCAAGATAATAAAAACTACTGCTATTCAGGTATAACCTGGGATGGATTTTAGGTTTTCTGGTAACCGATTATACGCTTTCGTATACACAGTGTTCCATATATGTGAGCAGTATTACAAGGAAGAACTATTTTGAGCTTCATACAAAGCATTAACCTGGCAGGATCAAATTCTACTAAGTTTCACTCTCAAGTTGAAGTTTCTTTCACATCTAGACTAAGATGTGAAATGACATTAAAAGCTGACCTAAGTGTGTTATATATAGTAGGTTGAATTAGAATAGAAGCAATATGTATACCTGAACACCAACGTTGATGGTTAAGGTCTGGGAAAGAAAGGTGATTGTGAGGAACAGTATTTAAAAAAGCTGGACAAAAACAATCTGATAAGCTTTACTAGCGAAGCTTGATTAGTAAACATTCATGCCTGACATTGTCAAAAGTCTTAAAACATCAAGCGTGTTTTGATCTTTGTTGTCGGGAACAATATAAATGATCGCTTGAGATGATGATACATTACAAATTTTTCAGAATAAGTAGTCTATATTTTATTGCCCTCTGTGGATAAAAGCCAACTTGGAGCGGTAAAAAAAAAAGAAAACCCATTTTTGTAAGAGGTTAAAGAGTCTACAGAATACTGGTGTAAGTTAATTTAGTCAAGTGCGACCAAGGAATAAATTTCAAAAATTGGAACCATGGCGAGAATTATTACTAAGAATACAGGTAAATGAGATCTGCACGAGGTCGTTTCTCCGACGAAATGAAAACAATATTTCAAAATGTTTCGTTAGCTCTCCTTGATTATTTATTAGTCGTCGTTTTGATCAAAATATTTTTCAATCACGTTGAGCAGATCAAAACTTTGGCTTTTCAGTTTTCAGCCTAACAGAACCACGATCTATACGGTCTTGCGTACATAGACACGTGGGTTGTTTCTGGCTCAACGGGAAACTCTGCATTGAGCTTTTGTTTGAACTAGTTGAATATTCCTCGTGGGTGCTTTAATTTACTTTCTGACGGAGAGACTAACGAATTAAAGTTCATATGATGAGCGGTCGTAGGGCAAAGTCGCTCTAAACTTTCGCTGAACATCATAAATATCAATTTACCTTCGTAACTACAACGGATGTCTGGCTGAAAACTCATTAATTTCGGTGCGAGTAACGGAGAAAAATTTTCATACTGAAAAGATCAACAGATGATTATGAAAAATATTCGTGCTATGCTAAAGCGAATATTCGAGAGATTTGGAAATGATTTGTTGCAATCAGTTTTCAATTTCTCTTA